ATGATCGACGTTTAATGTGACCAAACCATCTAAGACGACTTTCTCTAATTTTATCCGTCACATGAGCTACAGCAACCCTATCACGGATATATTCAATACAATTCATATAAAATTAATAATTTACATTATTATGAATCCACATTTGAATTTTTTTTTTTAATGAGCTATGAAATATTCAAAAAGATGTGTGATTAGTTGTATTAACCAGCTGTTTGAAGATAACCACAAAAACATGAGGCAAAGATCGAGTCTGCTGTGTTTGAATGTGCAGCGTACTAATCGAGAATAAAATAAATAATTACAAAATACTCAAGACTGCAAATAAATAAAATGAAAAATCAGCTCCTCGAAATAATAGTCTGTTCACAGTTAATTGCATCACAGCTTCAATATGAGTATATACATATGGTAGAGGCCATGTCATGGTTCAGCCTTATTACATCGAACGTGGCCATTAAAATGAACACATGATTGGGTCCTCCAATGGAGTTTTGACTGTTTGTGCCAAATTTGAAATTAGGTGTTGATTTGATTTTTAAGTCCAATTTTGGTGGAAAGTTTTGGAATTTTGTTGGGTCAAATTTGATTTGAATTTAGCGTGGTGATTTAATAAAATATTTTAATATTCATTTATTTATTTATTTAGGATCTATTTCGTACATATCATGTATTTTGTATATATTTACATGTCTAATACCTAAACTTTGATATTTACATGTGTTGAATATGAATCGGTCTGAAAGTTACACTCTAGAAATAGAGTGTAAAATATGTGTGTGTGTGTGTGTGAGAGAGAGAGAGAGAGAGAGAGAGAGAGAGAGAGAGAGAGAGAGAGAGAGAGAGAGAGAGAGAGAGAGAGAGAGAGAGAGAGAGAGAGAGAGAGAGAGAGAGAGTGAACAATCACAAACATTAGAATGAGAAGATTGTGTTTATTCATGGAAATGTCCCATATTTATAGACAAGGGGTACAATATGTATAATTACACTCTTATCCCTATTTTAATGGGGGGCGATATGAGTACATAAATGAGCATATGACTCGGCTACTCTATCGATCAGCTGACTAAGATTAGAGGACTTTGATTCAACAAGGCTTGTTTGTCCGGCTATGTTGCATCGGGGGGTTGTCAATCAACTACTATTGATCTTCGGTCATCCCAACTTGGTTTGGTCGACTTGAGTCTGTCGGTCGATTGCTTTGGTTCGGTTATCGGTTATCAACCATTTATGTTGTCAAATGAGGCTTGGCTGTCAGGCATAGAGTGAATCATCGTAATCCAACGAGATAAAAAAAAAAATTCTTAGGGTGTTTGGGGAGTAAATCATGATAAAACCTTCCGCCTTCTCATGAAGAGGCTTGGAGGTTTTTATGAGACGACTGACAATGCTGGGGCGAGGGTTGGGCTTAGGACGACCTACGTTTGCTAGATCTTGGTCATTGGCTCGGACGGCCTCTATTAGGCAGGCTTCGGGTCCCAATCAATGCAGACCTTCGATCTTCTCGAAATGGGACTTCTGGTCTTTCTTCTATGAGTTTACATAAGTTCATTGACTCTAACATATTGTGGCTATACCAAAATATATCTATCATTGATTTTTCTCCAAAATTAATTGTTGTGATAGCTTAACAAAAAGCATCATTTTGAAATGTTATTTAATGCTAATTGGGTGAAAGACTTTTTCAAAAAAGGTGTTTGTGGACTTTTCGGTTCGTGGCAGTTGGCCGGGTCGAGTCGTTATTTTGATATAATAATGCAAATGCATTAATTGAAACCTTAATATTGACAGTGAATGGATTATTGGAGAAATTTGTTGCGGGCTTTAAGACGCAGCCCATTTTGATAATGAAGGCCATTAATTTGAGATATTTATGCACCTGAATTTGTAATTAAATTCTCTCAGGAAGAGTACAAAAAGAGTATTAGTTTAAAGTCTAGTTATAGGTGCATTTGCTTACATACCATGTAATTATTATATATTTACATATCTAAAACCTAGTTTAATATTTACGAACATGCCACCCAAATCTTTTACATTACATCAAAATGCCACTTTTGCTAACTTATTACAAATGAAATACACCTTCTCATGTAAATGCTTTAAAACCAAGTGTTATAAATGTAAATATCAAACTTTAGGCGTTAGATATATAAATGCAAACAAATTGTGTGGTGTTTATCTAAAATGATATATATATATGTGTGTGTGTGTGTCCATATATACACATACTATTGAAATAAGATTTATGAGAGAGAGAGAGAGAGAGAGAGAGAGAATAGGCAAGGATGAGCACGAGAATGGGGATCAGAGGGGACTTGTTCAATTTTCAAGTGTGGAAAAGTCACGGGGCTCAAATCTCGAATCTTGGTTTACATTTTATACCATGTATTTATAAGAGTTGAACTTCATAAAATAACTCAATTAGTCCTATATTATTATTAGGCCTTTAGACATACACTGTTGACTTGCTGGTCATATCTCCAGTAAAGTTAGGATCTTGAAAAGATCCTCTTCCAAATGGCTATTTTAGTGAACATGAGAGATTTTCTTCCTTCAGTGATTCTCGCACTCGGCCCTCTATACTCGACTATTCGTACTCAACTCGTGAATGTTTGGTTGACTTTTGTTGGATTATTTGATTTTTCAAGTTGACCTTTTCATCGTTCATCCCCGACTTCACTTATGGGCTGCCATGTGCTAGAGGGTGAGGCAAGTGCTTTGAAAAATGACATTAACTTGAAACTTTCTTCAAGCTTTCTCCAAGTTGCTCATTATTACAAATCCTACTAAATTTTGGCTAGTCAGACCGAATCATTTTATATGGAGATAGCTATGTTCAACTATAAATATGAAATTTTGAAGACATCTAATCAACCAAAATGGCTTGTAGGAATTTGTACAAATTCTTATAAATATTTCAATTAAGCACATTTGGGTTTAGTTCAGGGTATTTTTGGTATTGTTAGATTCGTCTCCCAAAGTTCATTCTTTTTTATTATAAGTAAAATTCAATTAAATTTGCAGTCTCTTTTCAATTTTTATAATATAAATACTTTGTACTATGAAAACTACGCCGAATTTTGTATCTTATTAAAGAATGATGCCTTATGAGTTGTATTAAAGGATTGAATCAATATATATAGGATATAATAGAGAAAAAAGGATTCATGCAGCTGCCAGCCCCACTTTGACTCTTTTTATGTCAAATAGGATTTACCAAATCCAGTAAATTTGAACTTATTAAACCCTGTGCCATGAAAATGGAGCTCATCAACGATGACAGATTAAATCCCTTAAATACACATTGCAATCAGATTTAGTAAATCTGGATTTACATCATAAACAAGACGGAATACTAAAAACAAAAGCCGAATGGAAATATAAATAGATAAGAAAGTAGGATTTTAAGAAAATATAAATAGGCAAGTGATTTGGTTGAGCCTTTTTTGTGAGGATTGCGCAAAATCATAGATCAAGGGCAGCATGCAAACTTCTAAAACTAAACATTTTTATACAGTAATAGAAAATTGGAGGGTGGGCAAGATGGTGGTTCCGGCCATGTACATATTAATATATGTAAATATAAAAATTTAGGTGTTAGATATACAACAAATTATGTGTTATGTATGCAAATCTATCTAAAATTAATAATTTATAAGAAACATTTAGAAATCATAAAGAATCTTCAATTGATGGTCATATATTGAAAGAAACTATTACGTTAATGACTTGTCAATTAAGATATAAAATAAAAGTATGCGCCAAACTCAATCAAGGAAAGTAATAAATAGGAATTGGGTGGCACGTAGGTAAAGGCCCTTAAAAATTTTTATATGTTAAAATGTTAACCTTGCTTATTTATATAAAAAAAAAATTATTAAATTTAAATATTTATAATAATAATATACTCAAAATCAAAATGAAGCAAAAACTGAAAATGGAACTATCATAATTTATTAAAATTGATGCGTTTTTTAAAAGTGATTTTCTTAAGATTTTATGAAATACTTGAATTCATATATTTTAATCAATTAAAATCCGCATTATTCTACATAAATAATGCAATATATGCGCCTAGTATATATATATATATAAGAAATCAGCATATGGGAGAGGCCCAAATACCGATTTTCCATGTGCTAGGCCCCATGATGAGAGCCCACGCCATGTGCCTAATTATTCGAGAACTCAACGTCACTGGGGATCGAACCCGTGACTTGAGGGAACTTACAGTGAACCCCACCAACCAACAAACCACAATTTGTGGTGCGCACGTACGCGCGCTCACATGCGATT